GAACCTAGCTGGATGCCAGAGGGCTGGGACCCACGTGGGTCAGCCTGTACACAGCAGAATGGAAAAGGGGTGAAGAGCAGGCCTACAGAGGCAAGTGGAAGATGTCCAGCACAGATACACAAAATATTGTGACATAATGGAGCAACTGAGTTTGGCACACCACAATTTAAAGGAAGCAACTCACCCAGCTCATTCACTCATTCATTCAATTATTTATTAAGCACCTGCTGTGTACCAGGCACTATGCCAGGTACCAGGGATTCAGAGCTGAATTAATCATGACTCTTGCCCAGAGAGGATGCTGTCTGCTGGGGTCCAAGGCGCTGCGGTGGAGGGTGGATGGCATATCCTCTTCCCCTGCCTCCACCCTGCCTCAGCCCACCCAGAGAGACTCACTGTGCCTTCTACTGATCTCATCCACTTGTCACCCGCAAGAATTCCGGTGTGATTTAAGTTTTCATTAAAGTTTAACTATGTGGGAAAGACTGCAAAAAAAAAAATCACCTGCTCCATCACAAATCACAATGTTATTATGTGCTGAAATAGGGGCCGTGGGAATATGCCAGGGGGATTTGGTTGGGATTAGAGACAAAACGAATTTAGACCACTGGGTGCCTGCACACCCCCACGGTAACACCCTATAAACCTTCATGCATATAGATTTATATCCGGCGAACTGTTGATTGTGATTTTTTCGCCTGGGCTGCAAACAAAACCCCAGCCCTCACCAGCCCCTGTGCTGCTACGTCAGCCTGACACAAAACGTCTGTCTCCACACTCAATAGCCAATAACAAAAATGATGAAGAATCTGATGCAGACGTGGATAATTGCTCTGGCTTCCTCCCGTGAATTTAAATAGCTTTCTTGAATTACTGCTTTTGACACGATCAATAAAATTGAGCTACTGCTGTATCAGGCCTTTCGGCAAATACACAGGAAGCTGAGCTTCTAGGACTGATGGTAGAGGGACCCCAGCTCTCCTGGCGGGCAGGGCCAGGGTCATGGGGACAGTTGATGGAGTGAGGACAGGGATGTGCTGGACTGGCCAGTGGCCAACACAAGCAGATGAACTTCAATGTGCCTCCCAGCTGACCTCACTTTTCCTATATCCCTTTCTCCCCCCAAAATAACGAAGCCAAACTTGCCTGTCTGCCATCCCAGTCCCTCCTCTCTCTAACAAGACAGCTGGCCACTGAGATGCCCAACCCTGAGCCTGGGCGTTAGCGCAGCACCTTTCAACAAAGGAAGTGACCCCAGTGGCGGCACTTACAACACCTGGAGACCAAAGAGTAACTCTGGCGGTGAGATTTTAGATAAAGGAAAGGTATCGAGGCAGGGAAAAAAATTGAGGTGAAATTCACACAATATAAAAGTAACCGTGTTAACATGTACAATTTAGGGCCATTTAGCACATTGACAATGTTCTGCAACAACCCACCCTTTCTAGTTCCAGAACATTTTCATCATCTCAAAAGGAGACCTTATACCCATTAAAGACTTGCTCCCTATTGCCTCCTCTCCCCAGCGCCTGACAACCACCAATCTGTGTTGTCTCTACAGATTTGCCTACGAAAACTTTCAATTCCTTGTATTCCCAGCATCAGCTGGCTGGGTCCAAGTGTTTTGAACAGAGGCTCTAAAACCCAAGTGCCTCGAAGAAATGAGGCTGCAAATGTGATCATTCTTATTCGGGCTTCTTTTGGATTTAATACTCAGGGGCCCAGATTCTGTAAGTTTAGACAAGAGAGAAGCTCCGAGTCAGGCTGACTGGAGTTTAAATCACAGCTCCGTTGTTTCTTCAGCTGTGCGTCCTTGGGCACCTGCTACAGCATCACTTTGAGCCTCAGTCTTCTCATCCGTGCAATGGGAATTTTTTTTAACTGTACCTGCCTCTGTGGGTCGCTGTGGGGACTAAGTGGGAGACACAACGTCTGGTACAGTGAAGGCCCTTGGGAACGCTCCTGGGTAGAAGAGTGTCCTCCCCAAATTCATGTCTACCCAAAACTTGTGAGTGTGATCTCATTTGGAAATAGGGTCCTTACAGACAGAATCGGTGAAGATGAAGTCACACTGGATTAGGGTGGGCCTGAAATCCAAGGACTGGTGTGGAGACTCAGAGAGGAGACAGCCAGTGAGGCAGCCTCGAGCCAAGGAGCACCGAGGGTTGCCTGCAGCCCCGGGAAGCTATGAGAAGAGCAAGACAGCGCCTCTCCTGGAGCCTTCAGAGGGAGCGCACCACCTTGATTTCGGACTGGGAGAGCATACATTTTTGCTGCATTAAACCACCTCCTATCTGGCTCAGTTAGTCATGGCAGCCTGAGGACATGAACCGGCAGGGAGTTCAGGGAGGATCTGACAAGCAGGAGGTTCTGTGATCACTGCTGGGTGATGCGGGAGCCGCCCAGGAGGGCGGGTGAGTCAGGAGACTCCAGGGGCATGGGAAACTCCAGCAGCCTCAGCAGCAGACTGAGGCCTCACCTCCAGCTGCCCAGACTCCCAGGAGGGTGAGGGTGAGGGTAAGGATGAGGTCGAGGTCAAGGTCAAGGATGGGTTTTGGTGGGCGAGGGCTGGAGGCTCAGTGAGGGCTTGTCCCAGCATGAGTGGAGGGGCAGGCTTTGGGGAGAATTCATGAGTAGAGAAAGCCCTGGGAGGGCCCCCAGGCCCTGAGACTCAACAGCCAATTGGCAGAAGGAAAAACAAGTTGTTTCTTGAGAGGGGCACTCCCTGAGAACCAGCCTCACCTGCCCCTGCTGGAATCTCGCCCCAGTCTCATTACAGGACGCCAGAGCATTGATTATCCAAGCCCTCGAGAGGGACGTTGATGCCCCGGAATTAGATGCCGTGGGGAGACCCCGTTGAGTGGCGATTCAGCCCCAAAGCTGCCTTCCCACCCAGCCACCCGCCAGGCAGAGGCTGTCCCAAAAGTGCTTGTTATTCCAAGAACAACAGCCACCAAAACGTCCTACCCAGGGGCCCTGCACCCTGAACTTGACTCTGGAAAGCCCTGCTCTTTCAAAAATGAACATTTTCCCAAGGCTGCCCAAAGCAGAACGAAAGCAAAGCAAAGAGGAAAGCCAGTCATCAGCATTCACACGACGGTTTTGCCTATTTCCACCCGATGAAATCCACCTGGAAGGAATCCCAGCGATGCTGGGGTGACGCAGGCTGAATTTGTGAGAAGCTAGTTTTGGATTTCCCATCTAGTGGGTTGACAAAGACAGCGGGAGGATTATGAACTCCGACAGATCCAAAGAGGCTGTCGGGCCAGGGGGCTTCCAGATAATGGCAGATCATTCTTCAGTCGTGCTCAACCCACATTTCACACCCACACGGAGATTCTGGGCGCCTGGGGGCCGGGTGACAAGCCCCCAGGGTAGGTATCCACGTCCTTGTCCCAGGTCTGCTCTGCACACGAGCACAAGGCAATCACTTCGCCTGCGTTCCCCTGGAAGTCTCCGATTGCATAAGTGTTATTGCAAATCTGGTCTCTGACCTGCAGAGATACCAGCCGAGCTGCACACGGGGCCCCGAAAGCTCTCAGAACACCGGTTTGAATTTCTGAAGCCAAACCAAACACTGGGCTCGAGACCATTTTGTTATTATCTCATTCCCTGACTACGGAACAACCACCCCATTGAAAAGCTATGAGCCCGCCCAAGTTTTAAATTAAACCTCTTGAGTTTTCCCTCTGAGAGCAGATAAAATCCTTCCAGCTTATGTTTTGAGGAAAGAATTTGGGGGGGGGTGTCTGTGTGTCTGTGTGTGTGGTGTGTATTTCCCCTAAAACTCATTTTCTTTTGTTGGATTCCTTAAAGCGCTATTTAAATATTTGACTTGAGGAAATAATTACGTTTGATGAATGTGGAAATACCCTTCCAGGAGCAACTCCTCCGTGCAGCCCGGATTCCAGGGTGAAGCTGTTTCTGAAAACAGAGGTGAGGCCCCTTTCCAAGAAGTAAGCCCCCTAGAGTGGCCTTGAAGAGGTTTGTTGACAATGTTACAAGAGGTATTTATTCTCCACCCATCTATTTATTGGTTGGATGTCAACCACAGGCTCTGAAAACCACTGTGTATAAAAGCTCAAGTTGCAATGCTGGAGTGGAGACAGGGGAGAGAGAGAGGGTTTTGTTCCCCGGCTGGGGCCAGAAGAGATCCAATTTCTGCTGCTGGCCCCACCCTGAACAACTGGGTGAACTCTGGCCAATTCCTTCCCCTCTCAGTATCTCAGATGACTCACCCCAAAAGGAGGAATAATCATATGAGCTCCTTTTGTGGAACTACCATTAGCAAATGCCTGGGAAATGCTTACTGTTAATATGCTGTCATTCAGTCATTCAACAAACATTTGCTGAGCACCTATAATGTGCCAGATTCTGTTTGGGGCACCAGGGAGACAGCGGGGAACAAGACAGACAGCATCCCCGTCCTCGTGGAGCTGACATTCTAGAAGGTAGGAGTAGTTTCTGGTTTCATTTTGGAAGATACCCAGGGCTTTGTGTGGTACCTGGCTCACAGGTCAATACTTCTCTTTTTCTTTTTTGTAAATGAATGGTAAACCATCAAACACCAGGAGGGAAGGGCCCAGCGATAGTGTGTGTAGGGGAGACTGGCGACGATTCTGCATCTGGAGGTTGCAACCACCTTTCCTTCTAGGTCCTGGCGATCTCCAGGCCCCCGTGAAGGATCCTCAGCCCAGCTGACACGACGCTGACCACACTGCCTCCAACAGTAGCAAGCAAAAAAGCCAGGATCCCTCACTAGCCAGAAGGCAGCCTGACTTCTGCAGCCAGGCACAACCTGGCAACATGGTGGAGGTGCCAGCCTTCCAATGGCCTGGGGTGTTTTCACACACAAATCCAAATGTCTGGCTTCTCTAGAAACATCAGACGTTTTGCCACATTGGGGCACAATCCTACCTGGCTATGCTGGGCTGCAGCCTCTGCTCTCTGGGTCACTCCTGTCCCCTCCTTTATGTACCAGCATGGCTTCTGACGACATCTGAGTTTCCAATCCCTTCTCTACATGGAGTGAGCAGGAGTCTTACGAGGTGATGAGTGGCGTCTTAAGTGAAAAGAGGCTTCCTCCATCCTGGTTGGAGCAGGTGCAGGATAGGGTGGAACAAGCCTAGGGTTGGGAACCAGATAATCAATGGTTTAAATCCTGGCTCTGCCGCTCCTTGGCTGTGTGGTCTTGGGAACCTCAGTTTTCTTATCTTGAAAATGGGAAGATGTGTCCCATCAGGCTCTTGCAAGGAATGAATGAACATAAAAGGTCTATTATGCACCAGGCACGGTCAGGGGCCAGGGACACAAAGGACTCGACAAGGGGTTAAAACCCCAAACCTACAGAGATCAGACAAGTAATGTAAACAAGTGAACTAGCTCGGGTGTGGGGCAATAGGGACTGGTGGGGAGTGGAGTGAAGTGAACCAAGAGAGCACCTGCCCTATTTAAAGGCGAATTCCAGCCAACTGTCATTGTGGAAGAATGTAGGGCCCAAGGTTACCAAATCTTCTGATTTTTTTTTTTAACAAAAGCAACAGATCCAGATTTTTAATGTGAAATCTCTTAACTTTAAAACGATGCCAATTAACTTGTTAAAAATGATAAAACTCTATGCAAGGGGGACTAAATCCATTTGTGGACCACCAGTGGGCAATCTCTGGGTCAGAAACATGAGACTTCCGCTCTCATTGACTTTGCAGCCTGGGCTGGGGTGGGGAGACCGAGGGGGAGCTGGGTATGAGGAAATAATTGCACAATTCTGGATTTACTATTTGCGATCAGTTCTATAAAAGGGAAGCACTGAGATGTGGGAGCGTGTACTCCGAGGAGAAAGGGGAAGTGCTGCTGAAGAAGAGACACTTCAGCTGAGGCCTGAAGGCTGAGCTCAGGGTGAGGGGGAGCGGGCAGGAAGCAGGGAAAGGGCAGGCCCGGTGGAGGGAACAGCATCGGCAAAGCCTCAGCCGCGGGACTTGCATCTGTCCCGCTAGGGATCTGAAAGGCGGCCGGCTCGGCACAGACACTTCGCCAAAACAAAGGGCGGTTGGTACATCTCTCACCGGAGTGGAAAAAAGGGGAAACCCTTCTAGAGAATTCTGTTTCAAGCTTAGGAATCACCAACCAGAATGCCAGGGAGTGGAGGGTGAATCAGGCTGCCCTGGAGACCCCCTCCCCACGGACTGGCTGGAAACCTGGCCTGGGGGAACCGTCTCTGGGCCTGACATCGTCCACCCAGGCCCTGCCCCGACCCGCTCCTTCCGAAGGAGGGACCTGGACACGCTCCCGATTTCTCTGTGAGTACGCTGGCTGGGGCGAGGCAAGGCACGTTCCAGAACAAACGGAGTTAGCGGGCGGGGAGGAGGCGGGGAGGGCAGAGGGAGCAGATGGAGACCCACCTGCCTGGGTCTCACTCCTCTCCGCTGCGTCTGAGTCTGCCTCGAACTTCACCTTTTCCCTCCTCAGGCCTCAACCGGCTCCTTCCGGCTCGCCGCGGGGTCCTGCAGAGGCGCCGCGGGTCAGCGGGAAGTTCTTCCGGGTCACGCTCAAGGTCAAATTGATTTGCATGGGAGCCCCTGCTTCCGGCCAGCCCTGGGTTCACGGTGAACAAGACCGCAGAGGCTCCGTCACCCCGGGAGGTGGGGCTGTTTGGAAGGCCGAGCTGTGGGGACCCTCGGTGTCCCGAAATCCTTTACAACAGCTGTCACATAAAAGCCCGGAACCGCTTCTTGCAGACTCTCCACTGAGAATGTTAATGGCCAGGGCTGGGCATACAGTCGGTGCACAATAAATGCACACCCAAAGAAGGGCGGTCTGGAAAGGGAGAGGGCGAGTCTGCTTTCTGAGCTCACACTCCACTGCCTGGGGAGCCCGCGCACTCTCAGCTCAGCCCAGCCCATCTCTCTCCAACGACCACTGGGAAGGAAAAAATATTAATATGTTCAACCCTAATCAAATCTGGATAATTTCACTAGAAACCTTTCCATAATTTCATCAGCGTTAAAGGATTACAATAGCAACAAATTAAACCAATAGGCATGAATTTAGTTGCTCAAGAGGAAAATGTAGCTTGATTTAGAAACGGATGTTACAGTTTATTAACCAATCTAAATTAATTCGATTTTGAGCCACTGTTAAATATACATTAGGATGTATCACCCAATAGCATCACTGGCAGGGGGAGAGAAGGGAGAGGAAGAAAAAGAAGCAAGGCCAACTGAGCTTGGTGCCTACACACAAAATGGTGTGTTGATTCTATGGTATCTGGCTGGGGGTTCAAAATTAAAGAAGGGAGTATCAGCTTAGACTCCTGGTAACAAGAATTACAAACTCAATACAAGCTGGCTTAAGCCAAAAAGGGAATTTATTATCTCAGTACCTGAAAATTTCAGGGCTTGTCAAGCTTCAGGTACAGCTGAATCCAGGTGCTCAAAAGTCTATAGGCATTGGCCTTTCTCTGTCTTAGTCTGTTTTCTTCTCTCTAGACTTTGCTCTCCATCAGGATGAACATCAGAAGCTCCAGATTTTCATTCTACTGGCTTAGCCACCTCGCAGAAAGAGAGCCTACTTCAAATCCCAGGTAAAGCTCTCACCAGCCCGTCCAAGGGCATGAACCACTCTGATGGGCTAGGCTTGGGCCCCTTGCTCATCCTTGAGCTACAGAGGAGAGGAGGATGGTCAGATCCACACGGGGCACGAGGACTAAGAGCAGGAGAGGGGCGGTTCCAGAGGAGCTGTTACCAGTTTTGAAGATGGAGGAAGGGGCAGTGGCCCCTCTAGAATGCAGATCTCCTCTAGACACTAAAAGAGGCAAGGAACAAATTCTCCCCTGGAGCCACCTCCAACACCATGATTTTAGTCCTTAAGACTCATTTTGGACTTCTGACCTCGAGAACCATAAGGAAATAAATATCAATTGCTTTAAGCCACCAAGTTTTGGTGATGTGTCACAGCAGTGATAAGAAGCTGACACATCTGTAGAAGACCCTGCACTCCCCATGGGCGTGAAGCAGCCAACACACCATGGGGTGGAGGAGCCTCCAAAGACAACAGAACAAAAACTATTTCGTGTTGCAACAATTTCACATCCATTAGGGTCCAGAATGCAAAATTTGCTTGAGTGGCTGTACTAAAATATAAGCCGTCAAAGACGTCCCAGTCTGCGTGCAGGCTGTTTTCAAATATGTCTTTGTGAATGAAAAATGTTGCCTGCCATATCAGCAAACAAAGGATGCTGGGGCCATTACGCCATCAGCCACTACTGCGCCCCACGATGGTGAGCCGAGGGAACTCAGGCTGGAAACCAGCAGGCTGCTTGCTGACAAGTCCTCAGCCTCTGCAGCCAACACCCCCACCCCACCAGCCATGCTGCCCGCTGAGTGGAATTAGGATGGGAAAGCACAGGACACTGGCCCTGGAGCGCCAAGGTGCAGACCACAGGAATGATTTCAATGAGCCCAGACTCTTGCATCTTCCCATACACAGAAAAGTGCTCAACTCCTTGAAATATCTGGTTTTCTTTAATTAACAGTAACCTTTTGCTGTTCCCACTACCTGGTCTTTGTTGCAGAAACTTCTGTATATCCTGGCTCCTCCCCTCCCTCTTTGGAGCAGTCCCTCAGAGTGATCTGAGAGGCTGCCCCCCCAGCTTGAAGTCCTCAGCAAGTCCGCCAAATAAAACATAACTGTCAACTTTTAGGCTGTGCATTTGTTTTCAGTCGACATCTTCGTAGATCAGGGCACCCCCTAGCAGATGCAGCACTGAGACGGCCTTGACTGTCATCTGCTAGGGTCTCCGACTGCGCGGCACGTGAATGATGGGGTGACGGCCCTGCTGCTGTGTTGTGAACCCACCCTGTGCCCCAGAGGTGCTCCCCCACAGTGACCCAGCGTGGAAGGGAAATGAAGGTATGCCCATTCTGGCAAGACGTGGAATGCCTCGGATGGGGGACCTTGGCTCCAGGATTTCCCATCAGCCTGGACAAAAACTTCTTACTGTGCTGAGCCCTCTCACTCCCAGACCAGCCTCTCAGCCTGCAGCCTCTCCCTCCTCCTCCTCATCCCTGTTTCCCCCAATAACCCTCTTGCACATCTAATCTCACCTTGGCATCTTCTCGAAGGACCCAAACTGACCCAGCACTGTGGGAATTAGAAAAAGAGACCCCGCTCCAACCACCACCACCACCACCACCTCTGGGTGGATGCGTAACAATCAGAAACTTTTTCCCACGTGGGCACAGTCCAGTGCTACCTTAGAGTGACTGTGCTCACTGGCCAGGCCCCGAGTATCCCAGCCTCCACTGTCCCCACCTGGCCCTTTCTGCTCCCCTCACCTGCCAGGGTCCTGGGACACTGAGGTTTGCCAACCTGGTGGTCACACAAACTTGCTGTGTGTCCTTGGCCCAGCTGCTGCCCCTCTCTGAGTCGTGCTCGCCTGTTCTTGCAACCAAGGGAGAAAGACAGGCCCTTCTCTTCAAGAGCCCTCTACCTCTATGCACTGACAGCGCTAGGGAAGATGAAGAGGGAGATAAAGAGAAAATAGTACTGCTTAATTGCCTCATTAAGCCCTCCTTGTTGGGAAACCAGAATTGGAGCAGGCTTCCTCTGTTTTATTGCTCGCCTGCCCCCTCCTCAGCGGATCATACAGCTGAATGCCGAGGGGGATGGGGGAGGGTGGGGAAGGGGCCTGGAGACAGTGGAGGACGCTTGGGAAGGGGCAGGACCTGGCCAGCCTCAGACACAGCGAGGTTCACATCCCTGTCGGGGTTTTATTTGGCCACATGTAACAAAGACCCCCAAACAGCCACTTAAACAAGAGTGGGATTTATCTTTCTCCCGTGTGACAGTGACAGTAACAAATGCTACTGTGGAACGTGACCTCCGTGGGCACCCAGAGCTGTTCTCAGCATGGTACATAGATTAACTCACATTAACCCCATGTCCTGGGGTGAAGAGCACCCCTGCGAAATTCACGTCCACCTGGAACCTGTGAATGTGACCTTATTTGGAAATAGGGTGTTGACAGATGTGATCAAGTTTAGATGAGGTCCTACTGATCAGGGTGGGCCCTTAGCCAATGACTGGTGTCCTTTAAGAAGAGGGGAATCTGGACCCAGAGACACAGAGGGAAGCCCGTTATGTGACAACAAAGAAAGAAATTGGAGGGGTGTGTCTACAAGCCGACGAACATCCGGGATTGCCTGCCACCAGCGGAAGCTCAGAGAGGGGCATGGAACAGATTCTCCCCAGAGACCCCAGAAGGAACTGACCTTGCTGACACCTTGATTTCAGAGTTCTAGCCTCCAGGACTGTGAGAGATTAGATTTCAGTTGCTTTAAGCCACTTTGTGGTACTTGGTTGCAGCAGCCCAGGAAAGAAATTCACTCCCAGAAGCGGGTTCTGTCCCCATCCCCATTTTACAGATGGGAGCCTGAGGCACACTGCGGCTTTCCTCCGCCGCCACCTCCCTTAGTCTGTCCAAGCCGTTGCTTCTTCATCTGCGAAATGAGACTCACGTGCTGCTCCTCTGTCCCCATCGCACAGGGCTACCTGAGAGGATGCTCCCCAGGCCCTTGCGTGTGCTGGACACATGTGTGTTGTTGTTTTACCATTTCCCCCATTTCCCGTGGCATTAAGGACATTCCTACTGTACAGCCATCACCACCACCCATCTCCAGAATTTTTTAATCTTGCAAAACTGAAACTCTAAGCCCACTAAACACTAACTCCTCATTCCCCCTCTCCCAGCACCGGCCACTCTACTTTCTGTCTATGTATTTGACTCCTCTGGGGACCTCATATAAGTGGAATCATAGTATCTGTCCTTTTGTGACTGGCTTCTTTCACTCAACATAATGTCCCCAAGATTCACCCATGTTGTAGCAGGTGTCAGAATCTCCTTTCTTTGTAAGGCTGAACCATATGCCATTGTGTGGATGGACCACATTTTGCTCATCCATTCGTCGGTAGATGGACAGTTGAGTGGCTTCCCTTTTGACTACTATGAATAATGCTGCTATGAACATGGGTTACAAATATCAGACATGCGTGTTTTAAAATTTTTAATTATCAACACTGTCAACATCTGTGTTGTTTATTCTCTCTTTGTCCCCAGCATTCTTTCTCCACAGGGCTGACCCTGCAAACAACATCTCCCAGGCTCCCTCTGGCCCTGGCCGGGCTCAGCCAATGGGAGGCAGCGGCAGGAAGCTGGTGGGCGGGGAGAAAGAGGTGGGAGCACTTGTTCCTCTAGCTCCCTCTCATCTCGTCCACTTCTGGCAATGGCTCCATCTTTGCAGGACCACAGCTTCGGAAGCCTGTCTCCTCCTGTCTGGCTCCCATGCTCACTGGACTCCTATAACATTGCTTCCTCCCTCTGTCCCTTCGGACCCAGGAGCAGGTACACCCACACAAGTGTCAGCGCCTTTCACTCTGCCACCTCCATGGAGAGACCCTTCACCACACACTCTTTGCTGGACCATCTGAGGGAAACTCTGTCTCCAGATGGACCCTGAATGACACACTCTCTTTATTTTACAGATGAGGAAACTGACACACAGAAAGATTAAGTAAATTGCCCAGAGTTGTATGCCTAGTGAACCGGCTTGAACACAGGCTGTCTGATTCTAGAGTCCACGCTCTGAATCAGGGCTCAGCCAACCACAGCCCTTGAGCCAGACCCGGCCCACTGCCTGTTTTTGTCAATAAAGTTTTACTGGCACACAGCCAGGCCCACTGACTTAAGTATGTTCTGCATCTGTCTTCGTCCTACAATGGTGAAGTGAGTAGCTGCAACAGGGACAGTGTGGCCCCCAAACCCCTAAATATTTATTGTCAGGATCTTTACAAAAATACGTTTGTCGGCCCCTGCTCTAAGTAGCTGTGCTATGCTGCCTTTTGGGGGTTTGAGGCCTCAAAAGTCTTACTTGGAGGCCAGGAATCTTACCGTTCTTTCCACTTTGGCAAACTGAGAAGCTATAGGTTAACACGGGCTGGTAAAATCAAAGCCTCCCCAGGCCCGGCAGGTAACAAAATTGTTAATCAAGTTGGGCATAGGTGGAACAGGAACTCTTGCCTGAGAAGTCGTCAAACAAAGCTTACCAAGCGCCTACTGTGTGTCAAGCGCTGTCCCAGGCCCTGAGGGAACAGAGGAGTGAAGACCAGAGACCTGGTCCCTGCTCTCCTGGAACAGACAGTCTAATGAGGAATGGCGAGTGACCAGCCTCAGTGACGGGGAGACGACAGGGCACGGTGGGGACTGTGGACAATTGGGAGGCTTATGTTCAATCTAAAGACTCCTTGGCCACAGACAGTTCTGTGGGAGAATGCAGGCTGGAAGAAGGAGGAAGGAAGGCCTGATGCTGGGACCAGAGGGCCAAGGCTTGTACAGAAACCCCCAGCAGGCTTCTGCTTACATCTCATTAGCCGAAAGTATAGCACACGGCCACACTTGTGGCCAGGGAGTCTGGGAAGGTGAACTTTTAGCTTCCCAGCTCCTAGTCGGAGAAGACGAGAGAAAAGAGCTGGAATGGGTTATGCGAACAGAGAACAGGTGCCGGTATTGAGAGCTCCATTCAGTATATCTGTTCACTCCCCTGTGCACCCTGGGCACCTGCACCCCCTCTTTGGAGACCTCTGCCCCCAGGACTCCCAAAGCATGAGGCTTTTGAGAAAGGAAAGCCAGGAAGTGGCTTGAAAGGTCTCTCTGCTACACACCTTCCCTGAGGCAAAAGGCATAGAAACATTACTTGCTCAAATGAGGATCTGATGGGGTGGGGAGGAGAGAAAAAAAAAATGGAGAGAACAAGGAGGGCTGTCTCAGTTACTTGACCAAACTAAGACACAGCTACAAGCTGGAATATTGTACCGTCGTTCACGACCAGGTTCATGATGGAAAGGCACAGGGTTTATGTTACAATGCTCAATGAAGAAATCAAATATGACTGTATTTTGGTATGATTATAACCAGGAGAAAAAGAAAATCAGCAATTATGAATAGATACAAGTCTAGAAGGAAAAAAAATCCATAGGCTAATACTGATTGTCTTTGGGTAAATTTTTCACATTTCCACTTTTTCATTTTCTCTCTTTTCTGTTTAATCTATGAGTGCAGTTGTCCCTCAGTATCCACGGGTATTGGTTCTAGGACCCCCTGTGGATACCAAAATCCACGGATGCTCAAGTCCCTTGAATAAAATGGTACATTATTTGCATATAACCTACACACATTCTCCCATATAATTAAAATCATATCTAGATTACTTATAATACTTAATGCAGTGTATATGTGTGTCTATTATGTTGGAAGGAAGACAAGAAGGAAGGAAGAAGGAAAGAAGTTAGTTGACAACACTAATGTCCCAAGTGTTAAATCCTCTGAAATGGCAGACTTGAGGTTATCTTGAGGGGACAGCTGCTTCCCTCTTCAGTGGGGCTTCCACATCCTCCCTCAGTCTTCAGTGAGGACTGACTGTGCTGGGCACAGTTCTAATCTCTTGACCACCTTCTGGGGCCAGCACAATTTCAGCCCCACTTTACAATGAGGCAGGAGCTCCGAGGGTGCACAGGCAAAACCTGGCAGCTGGACGCTGAGCCTGTGGCCTTACACCCCGACTCTGCCGCCTCCCCAGATACCACATCCTCTTCACCCTATGAATCCTTCCACATCCTCTTCATCCTATGAATCCTTCCAAATACTGCCCCAGTCCTAACCAAGAACCGGGTGACGGGCAAAGCAGAGTTGTTCTGATAAAGCCTCGTGGCCATGGCCCCCAGAACCTTGCCTGAGCTCCCAGGGAAAGGAGGTGGCTGGAGGGCCACAGGCCGAGACCCTTCCTCAGAGGGTGGGCATCCCACCCTGCAGCACTGTGGCAGAGACTGCTTCAGTTGTCCCCCAGTCTCTAGTGGCCCCTTCTTCCTTTGTAATAGAAACCCTGACTTTTAGCTGGGCGCATAGCTGGCAGGAGTCAAGACGACATTTTCTAGGCTCCCTTGCAGCTAGGTGTGGCCAAACCACTCAGTCCTGGTACTGGGTCCCCTTACAGCTGAGTTCCTTCGCTGAGTTTATGATTAATCTCTCTACCCAAAACTTTGTTTCCTTTCTTGTCCCCTCTGACCTCAATCCTGTGCTAACTGAACACTAGTCAACCAGAGTCAATGACTAAACTTGCTGTTGTCAATAACATCATGAATGTACAAACTCAAGTCGTTTCTCCAGGGCAAAATGAGCTAACAGACCCTTGAGCCATGGACCACCTGGCCAGAGAATCGTAAACCAGAGACATCCTGACTCCTGAAACCAGGATTAAGAAATGTCACAGAAATGTCACAACATGATGATTCATGCCAGCCTCTTTGTTCTTCCCCTTTATTTTTTTAAGTTTTTTTTTTTAATGGATGTACTGGGGATTGAACCCAAGACCTCGTGCATGCTAAGCATGTGCTCTACCACTGAGCAATACCTACCTGCCCTGTTCTGCCCCTTAAAACAAATAAACAAAACCCCTAACTGAAAGACCAAGTTGGAGTGGATATGAGGCTTGTTTCCCACTCCCTTGCTTGGCACCCTGCAATAAATCCTTACTGTGCTGCAAACTCCTGCTGTCAGAGTTTGGCTTTATAAAATGCAGGCACAAGCCCTTTGCTCAGTTTCAGTACTGGCCCCCAAGATGTAAGTGGAAGTGATATGCTCAATGTCTGGGAAAGATCCTTAAATAGAGAAGAAATGGTCTTCTTCTGTCCTTCTCCTTTCTGCTGCCTGGAATTCAGATGTGATGACTGGAGCTGCAGCAGCCTTCTTAGACCATGAGATGTAAGCCATGACTCTGTCCTGATTTTGTTTCCTTCTGAGAAGTAAACTTCTTTCTGGTTTAAACTCCCATTACTGGGGTTCTCTGTCAAATGTTTTCCTAACTCATAATGACAAGAAAGTGTCCAAACAGTCACAGGGTCCTAAGGTTTTGGGGGTAGCCTCCAAGTGGCCTTGTTTTAGTTGAAAGAAAGTGACCTTTTTTGAGGGTATTCTTGAGGCCTTAGCACTGATGACAGAGGTGGTACTTGGAGTGATAAAAGGACCCCACCATGCTTATATATTTTGGACTCATGTGTACAGACAATGTGATTTAAATCCTTCTAACACCTCGAGTGTTTCCCACCTTGGGGGAAAATATTTCAAATAGAAAACTAGACTCAAGCAGGCATTACATCATCCCTATTCCAAATCCACTTTCTCGATATCTTGTAAACTGCAAACTATTTCAAACATAGAAAGGGTAAGTTAATAACAGAAACAGATTGTATATATTCAACCACTCGCATTAAACAGATATTAACATTTTGCCAAATTTGCTTCAGATCTCTCTTTTTACAGAATTAAAAGGTTGCAGATCCAGCTAAAATCCTCCTCCTCCCGCAAATACATACAGCATTCTCTCTCCCTCTCTCTCTCCCAGCCTCCAAACCCGGAGTTGGCAGATGTCACTCCCATGTGGGTCTTAATACTTTTCCTACACAGAATGTCTCCATAAGCCATAGGCTGTGTTGTAAAAGCCACTTTCTTATTCTAACTGGTGAAATTCATTTGCTCAACCGTGGTTGAAGCCATCACTCCACAGCAACATATATAAGATTACTGGGCCCATTGGGAGGCTGTAGGTCTTTGGAGGAATTTTTTTCCGGCCAATATTGCCCAAAGACATACGTGCTATTTTATTTTTTCTCTAGTGCATGGTAAAGTAAATGCGTAACTATTCAAATTAAAAGAAACAGCGGAACTGTATACCAGCTAAAATTGCCCCACCTACCACCAACAGCACGCTACCAGTTGGGAACACAATCTAACCAGTCCCACGAGAGCTGGGTTCCGTGACCCCACTCTCCTCCGAAGGTCAGCCAGACTACAGTGTTCCAGACGCTTCTGATTGTACCCTGCAACAATAAAATAAAATCTGAGGACTACCCCCAAGATATGAATATTTCTTAACTTGTAAATGATGTGTATGCCCTCCGGTGTTACTGAGCCATTCTCTTCCTGATCACCTGCACTCGTGTTACTAGAATTAGCCTCCATCTGCCGCTTCTCCGCAGGGAGAGTTTCAAGCCAGTTGTCCATTGCATGAGGGTTACTTTAGTTAATACCAGGTGCCCGCATCTTAAATCTGCTAGCCCGGGCTTATCCATGCTGCAGTTGTGAATGGGGTGGAGGGCACCCCTTCAACCCCAGGTGCCGGTGAGAGAAAAACAAAGAAGCATTTCTTGAGTACTTACCGTGTGCCAGGCCTGTTCTAAGCTGCTTTAGTCAGACCAACTCAATGAATCCTCACAACAGCCCCGGGGGCAGTATTACCGTTATCCCCATTTACAACCAAAGTTCAGAGAGGTTGAGAAACTTGGCCAAGGTCACAGAGCTGTCAAAGATGAGGCAGGAAACCCAGGCCGGCCAGCTCTCCACCCACACACTTAGCCAGTGCCCTTTGGCCCTCTTGCAGGAAGAGGGCAGCCCGCTGTTTTCTAAGGAATCTTGGGAAGGGATTGTGACCTGGGGCCAGGTGACATTTGGCCTAAGAGGGGGCACCCAAAAGAAGCCATTCCTTAAATACTAGCAGAGAAACTTTATCTGTGGATTAGGTTCTCCAGTGAACCAGCAGGGAAACAAATTAATTTAATCAAAGTTACCCTTAAATCATCCGTAAATGCCGTAGCAAGCACAGCACAGCCAGCGGTTCCTCCG